ATGCTGCAGCCGAGGAGCAGGAAGACGCCCCTCCCTCCATTTTGACTGACGGTGGCCCAAATGGAGAGAGTACCACTGACAACAACCTGCAGGTTAAAGTGAATCATGCTTTTGACACTGCCCAAGGAGCCTTAGGCCAAGTCAAGGCCAAGGTGGAAGTGTGCAAGGACGAGTCAGTAGGTAAGAGCTTGTCGTAGTATATTGGCAGTGAAAGACTTTGAAAAAGGTTCTTATTTTTTTGTTGCTTTTTGGCACTTAGTGAACTTACTTGATAAAACCTCTTCACAGAACTTGAAGAGTTTCGTGTGTATCTGGAAAAATGCTTTGACTTTGAACAAGTTACTGTCAAGAAGTTTCGCACATGGGCTGAGCGAAGGCAGTTCAACAGAGACATGAAGAGGAAGCAGGCAGAGTCAGAGAGGCCCATCCTTCCCGCCAACCAGAAACTTATCACACTGTCAGTCCAAGATGCTCCCACTAAGAAAGGTAACAACACAATTCATGTTTTTTTTTATTACCAGTCTTTTATTGCACATAGTATCTAATATGACTAATGACTCTACCACATAACTCCATGGTTAACTCTCGAACTGTTAAAGCACAGAAGAACAATACATGACATATTATGTATATATGATGACATAGGCAAGAATCATTTTGAAATTCTTTAAGCAAACTAACAGAATAGTTAACCTCTTTTTATCTTTTTGAAGAAAGGTCGGAAATCAAGTCTCTGATAACTGTAATGTTGATGAAGGTTTTTCAAATTTCAATACATTTTCTTTTAACAGAATTTGTCATCAACCCCAATGGAAAATCTGAAGTTTGCATCTTGCACGAATATATGCAACGTGTCCTCAAGGTTCGACCTGTTTACAACTTTTTTGAATGTGGTAAGTATCATCAGCCGAGGTTCTCTGTTGAATATCATCCGAAAATCTACTCATGTTCATTCTGTTGTCATCTACAACCAAGTCTACATTTACATTACCCCTGTAGCATTCACATGTTTGCATGTGTACACACATAAGTCTGGCTGTTGTTTCTTATAAATGACAGGTCACATGTTTAGTTTTACAAGCTTTTCATACCAAATGAACCAGATTTTTGTGCTTCACAGAGAACCCAAGTGAACCCTTTGGAGCGTCAGTCATTATAGATGGAGTGACGTACGGCACAGGAACAGCAAGCAGTAAAAAACTTGCCAAGAATAAAGCTGGTAATTTTAATTATTTACAGTATTAAGCAATGTGATCAGTGTCAGACGTGTATAATACTTTAATACTATTAATTCATATGTATAATAATATTCCTCTCACCTCACAGCTAGTTATCTTTGTGATACCTTCAAATTCTTACTATAAATAGTAGATGGTTGCACTGGTAACTTGTTGTAATACTCCTTCTGTTCTCACTGGTGTTATGATGTACACTGCAGCTCGAGCCACACTGGAAATCCTCATCCCTGACTTTGTGAAGCAGACCTCGGAGGAGAAGCCTGTGGAGGGCGATGAACTGGAGGTACCTTTCTTTTTCCTGTTCTTCATATTCAGTCAAATGGAATGATGAAGCTCAACTTTGTAAATACACTGTTTTAAATTAGAGATAATTCACCGATAATTCAATGTGCTCTGTCCCACAGTATTTTAATCATATCAGTATAGAAGACTCAAGGGTGTATGAGCTGACCAACAAAGCAGGACTACTTTCGCCATATCAGATTCTTCATGAGTGCCTTAAAAGGTAAGGGCTGAAACACACAAACCAACAAAAACCTAAATATTGACCCAGTTTAATCATCTACCAATTTCATAATGGCCACTAAAAGCTGTTCTCTGTCAGGTCGCAAACATTGATTAAGAAAATTGTCCTTTTTGTGTTTTTCCTGAAGAAACCATGGGATGGGAGACACTAGCATTAAGTTTGAGGTGATCCCAGGAAAAAACCAGAAGAGTGAATATGTGATGACATGTGGGAAACACACTGTGCGTGGCTGGTGTAAGTTGAACCTCATTTAACCACATTCTAATGATGAACCACTCAAGCCGTTTTCACACATGATCTCTGGGTAAAATCTGGAGAGTTGGGTTCAGAGGGGGTTCACCATTGAAAACGACACCTTGCACCTCACATTGCACATTTTGATATTATTACATACAGTTCTTACTTCAAATTAAATTTTTTTCATGAATTGTGCAGAATTTAAACTGTTGTGATAATTTTTTTAAGCTTTGAAAATAATTGATTACATAGCTTAAATTGCTCAATGCAGAATTTTTACAACAAAGTGATGCTAATGTACATCTCTTTAAGTTTTACTCTTCACATTCATATCATTATAGAAGCCATTTCATTCAGGTCAAGTTTTCTCTTTTTATTTGAATTATCGCGACTGACGTTTTGATGCTTACTAGTCTTTCACAGACCAAACAGACACATTAGCAACGCATGATGATACGTTTTTTATTGTAATTGTCAACAGGCAAGAACAAGAGGGTTGGCAAACAACTAGCGTCTCAGAAGATCTTGCAGATGCTTCATCCCCACGTCAAGAACTGGGGTTCACTGCTGCGCATGTATGGCCGAGAGAGCAATAAGATGGTCAAGAAGGTAAGAACTGTCTTCAGCACTAAGTGTTAAACCTCTGAGGTCGTTGGAAAACGTTTACTTTATTTGTTTCTTAAGCGGATGATTCGGGTGATGACGATGGTGTTTTCAAGCTGTCAAGATGTCTTTTCAACATAAAACCCCCCTCACTCAAGTTACTTGTCTCTTTGAAAAAACATCTGTATGGCATCAATCAGCGTCGTATTTTATTTATAACTGGCATGTTGATTCCACATTGCCTTGTGAACATTGCTCACTTCAGAACAGCCAGTGAATTATGAGAGATGAACCGATAGAATTCTTGAAGATTGAAGTCATTTGTTGCAGGAGAGCTCTGACAAGAGTGTGATCGAGCTGCAGCAGTTTGCCAAAAAGAACAAGCCAAACCTTCACATCTTGAACAAACTGCAAGAAGAAATGACGAAACTGGCCACGCAGAGGGTGAGCAGAGTTCTGTTGTGTCGAAAATATTGTCTAATGTATTGTTATTCTGTCAAGCGTAAAACTTAAATCCTTTTGTTTTTGTGAGTGGTGGCCTTCTCGTATAAAGTAATTTAAAATGTACGTTTGTCTCTGACACGTTGATCTTTTTTTCCATCATTAAGAACCTGAAGGGTTTACTTTGTCCACGTCAATGGAAATGTTCTCACCAGAGAGCTCATTGAAGGGAAGTTGAGGTGGTAGTTTTAATCCAAATGAAGCCCTGAACTCTATCAGGGGAAACTGTAAATCTGAAGGGTCTCAATTAGTGGGACTCTGTCTTATTGCAGCTTTACTTAATGCCTGAGGTGAAGAGAGTGCATTACAACAAACATCTTGACTGGTGTAGCTGTCAGTCCCAGCTTCACAAAATGACATTGTCACCAGCAGATTTGCACATTTGAGAATGCCAACAAAAAAAATTCTTAATTGTTATTTTATTGTAATTTAATTCCAGGAGGAGACAAGAAAGAAACCGAAGATGACAATAATGGAGTCCGCCCAGCCAGGGAGCGAACCTCTCTGCACCGTGGACGTCTGAGTCTCGGAATCACTGAGCCACGGCAATGAAAACCCCGGTCACTGTCAGACTTACAAAACACCACCACCCATCACTTAATTATGCATCACTGAGATCTAATGGCAATATAGTTCCACATAGAGCAGGTTGTAGAACTGCTTTGCTTCCTTTGTTCACGTTGTTTTGGATCAGCTGGTAGATGTAAGGGTAGGACTAAGTGCACACAACAGACCGTAGAGCAAATATCATCTACCTCTTAAGATGCACCCTTGCTATGGCATTAGGAGAAAAAGAAAAATCACCCAGGGTGCAAAGACGTTAACACGACTTGACAACAGATGAGACACATCAAAATAAAACTGCATGCTTCTTTGACTGCAAAAACCACTACTCCGTTGGTTTTGTTTTGAAGTGTTGTTTTTAAAACAGTCGGCAAACCTTATCGTACCAGCACCTCTTATCAGTTTTGTTTGTGCTTCAAGTATTTGAAAAGGACTACTAATATTAGTGTATTTATACCATTCATTTAATTGGGAAACAAAGTTACTTGTTTATACTGTATTTTAACTCTAGGTGTTCTGGATATTTTTTGCTGAACTACAAAAAAAAAATAGTTTCTTCTCAGAACGGACAGTTGATGTCTTGGTTTGCACGATTAAAAAAAACAAAAAACATTGAAGTGATCACTTTTCAGAGCTATTGTCATGCACTCGTTTCCTGTCGGATATTTTCGTTGATCATGCTGTCGGTACAGAAATAACTGCGTTTTGGAATGTCTGGAGATGACTCCTTGTATTTGTTGCCTTTTTTTGCTTTGGTAATGCAACAAACTGACGTCCTGCTCCCCGGTCACACATACAGGAATGTTTCAGTGGTGAACGCTTCCTGTTTACGTCCAGTCTGTAAGAGTGAGGGAGCAAATAAAACACTCACTACTTGTGGCGAAGCAAATTGCAGCTTGGATTTGCGTGGAAATTTGACCTGCGATATTTGCTTGGCGTTCACATTGTGTGATGGTGCCCGAACACTGCAGTAAACCCAAGTACAGGGCCACAGTGTTGTTACTGAAAAGGTGAAAGACATTTTATGCTCTTAAGTTCTTGCTAGCTTTTTCTTGAACTAATGCCATGCATGCAATACAACACGTTGCTGTTCATTAAAAAGAAAGTCCAGTTGGCTACATGTTGCCTTAGTTAATCCATTTCATGAAGGGTTTAGAGTATATACAGTACATTGGACCTAAAACACCCTTCAACAGGGAGTGGAAAGACCAAGCCCCCTTAACTTGATGAAGCATTTATTGTTTAGCCAGGTAGTATTTTTAAAGAAGACAGCCTATACAAGTATGTGCAGATTCTCTTTAAGACTCATTTCAATGGATTGTGTTATTATGTTTGTATACGTCTGCTATTGTCATGACAACAGATCATGCTTTTCTAACCATGAGAAAAATAAGACCCCCCCCCCAAAAGACAGCCTCGTAAAATGTAGTCGGCACATTGACATGAACAAAATGCGATCAAGTCGTTGAGTCCAACAGGAGCTGATGAGAACTGTGTATACCAAAGCTTACATGCTGTCTTATGCATTTTATAGAGTTCATGTTGCTGCAAACTACATCAGAATCATTTATAACACAGGATAATACACAAATACATAAGTTGCTGGATCAAAATAGAAACTGCTGTTTATTCTGTCCAATATTGGGTCTGTGCTTTTTTTCCCCCAACGAGGACACATCAGTTTAAAAACCAGGCTGTTGTGATATTGTAGTTTGCTTTAAGAATGTGCTTTCTCCTCTGTGCGTGTGTAGTCTTGCCATGTGTATGTCAGTGTGAGAAGACAGGAAAAAAATAATGCTTTTATATGTGTTGCCGTTGAGTTGTACCAATGAATTGTTTGAGATGTTGCCTAGAAGAATGAAGTATGTATTGCAATCTGAGCTCCATGACTTCAGTGATATTTGTTATGCAAAAATAAAATATCTTGACTAATGACTAAAGAGGCTTTTTATTCAGTCACTAAATGATGAGAAAACAGGACATTTACAATGGTCTTAAAATTCAAGGATTAGGTTTACATTTTACAAGTAATTTAATGAATCCTATTATGAAAATAAAGGGGGAAAATGTAGGAATAAGCAGCAAGAAAACCCCATGCTCTGTGAAACCCCTTTGAATATAACACAGATGTAGCCAATGATAACCTCAGTCGATCATTACCAAACATTTACTCCTCCAACAGAAACACTGTACTTTAAGTTTGTGGTTCTTTCCACATAATAGACAGTTTCTTTTTCAATCTTGTCAAAGTCCTGATACTAATGATAATGTGCAGATGTGATAAAAGTGCTTCATTATTTGTGAAACTTAAAGAATAACTAAACAAGATGCTCCACAATACTCATTTGAATGCAGGTGACTGATCTGATATTTCCCCTCTTCAATATTGCCTGGAATCATGACTTCTCTCTTAATTGGCCCTAAAACTCATTCATATTAAGACATCCAACAATAAAAATAAGTTCTTAAACTGAAATGCAGGCAAAGAGACTCATGACGCTCATGAAAGCAAATACAGTACAATACATACTGTAAGAAAACTTAAGTGTTTATTTGAAGCTCTAAACAATTCCTTGTTGTAACATAAGTAGACTTTACTGTACGAGACACTGGTGAGTGTTAAATGATGGATACATTGACTCTTAAAGAATAAGACCATACAGACATTTAAACAAAATGATGTTAGCATCAATTTTGAAGGACAGCCTGTGCTACCTTAACTGCACAGGGTCTGTTTGTTAGACTAAGAAGCAGTCTGTTCCTGTTCGCTGCTGCTCTGCTGCTGCTGCTTCTGGGATTCGTAGTCCACTCTCTCCAGCAGCAGAATCATCTCCACGTGCATGGTCTGAGGGAACAGGTCCACGGCCAAGGCTCGCACCGGACGGAACGGAGCTCCATGAACTCTGTTGGACGGTGCTCTGCACAGACTAAAAAAAAGAAAGTTCCAACATAAGAGTCATTACATTGTAGAACTAGTCACTGTCTCAGTGATGTCTTTGTTTTCTACCACAAATCTGCTCTAAACACAGAAATTAACAATGTTACAACTCACTCGATGAAGTTAGCCATGGCTGCCTTTGCATTACATGCGACGTAAATCAGCCTCTTCAGGTGCTGAGCTCTACGGATGGCAAGTATCACCTTGGAATCTGTGTTTTGTTTAAAACAAATAGTTTTAACATGCGACACACTAAAAGTGGGTGGAATCCGTTTTGGATTTGTGGTCGTTTACTCACGTAGCCCCGCCCTCGGTGGATCCACGATGGCCGTGACACTGGGTGAGACGAGAGCGTTGAGAATGTTGGGGAACACGTCCTCAGCTTTACCACAGTGAAATTCAACATTACTTAGTCCTGAAAATACAAACAGGTCATGAGTTAATTGTGTTGGACTGTTTCCTGTGTTAATGCAGTGGAGCTACTTCAGAATTATCCCTTGTCATTAGTGAATCCTCTTCAAACAGTTCTACAATATACTCTCAATTGTTATTGTTTGTGTGCTGGATGTCTGTGGTGTTACAAAACTTTGTTCATCATACCTGGTTTATCTGCAGTGAAGCTGTTATGCGTCCATGATAAATTAGATTCTGTTTTTTGCACCGATTTTAAAGTGAATGTTTTTAATAAAATGTAACAGGATTTGCATTATGTGTTCAAATCACATCAAATTAAACGCTGCACTTCCCCGGACCATAAACAATACACATGTAAAGAGTGAAGCTGATACGATGAGTCATCGATATATGTGTTCCACAGTTAGGTCGGTGATTCATTTGGTTCAAAGGTTCATTTGTGAAACAGTAGCAGCATACCATTTCTCTACAATGACTAACTTCTATTTATATATACTGTTAATAATATGTTGTCATTCACCTAAAGTTGTTTTACAGTAAATATGTTTAACTGTTAAACAGAATACAATCTCTTTCAAATGGTATTCTGTTAAACATCTACCAGATGCCATAATTCTAAAATATAATCTATTGATACTTTCAATTCTGACATTTCAAACAGCATATAACTGCCATCACTGTGATGTGGTATCTGGTGTCCTACCATTGAGCTTGGCATTAACTTTAGCATCCTCCACTGCTTCCTGGCACAGCTCGATCCCAATCACCCTCTTTACCCTCTGGAGACACAAATCAGACGGTTTATATTCAGTCATGACCATTAAAAGGGTCATTCATCTTCCATCATCTCAAATTTCAGAGAATCACTTCAAGCTTTGGGTTTCACAGCATATTCTCATATGAGTGACGCAGGCGTCAAACTTTACCTTCGCCAGAGAAATGCCAATGGTTCCTGTGCCACAGCACACGTCCAGGACGGTGCTGTCCTGGTCCAGCTGGGCCCACTCCCCCACGGCCGAGTACAGCACCTCTGCAGCTCCAGTGTTCACCTGCCAGGTCACACACACAGACACACACTTATCTCCTGTGCACTTTGTGTAGGGAGGCTTTACATCATTTACACAACTACAAAAAGAGCATGAGGTTGAGAACATCTTTGAGGGGAATCTTACCTGGAAGAAGGAGTGAGGGGATATTCTGAATCTTAGACCCAGCAGCTCTTCGTGGATGCAGCTCTCTCCAGCTACCAGCTCACAGGGCAAGTCCTCCGGGTTAGGGGACTTCCTTCACAGCCAACAACAAAACAGGTTCAGTGGAATGGATCTTATTATTCTGATGTCTGCAAGTCTTTAAATGCTTCCCCCCTCACCTTTGACCCTCTCTAACAAAGTAAAGAGAGGTCACGCCGCTGGCTTTCCCCTCTCCCTCTGTGAAGTGCTCCTTCATGGAGCTCTTCAGAGCGTTGAGCTCCTCTTCTTCAATTTTCTTGGAATCGTTGAACAAGTAAAAGAGGTCAAAGGGTGAAATCTAACAATCTGCCTGATGTTAAATTGTATTTTATTTAATCAGACAGTTCGACCTGAGAACATGTGATCACCTGTGGGTTGAAGAACACTACAGCCATGGCTTGTTTGGTCCTTGTCGTTCGTACAGTCAGCTGCTTCCAGTGTCCTTCATACGTCTCAGGACTGTACACAGAGTACGGAGTTGTCCTGTTGGCAAAATGATATCAAGATTTGATGCAACAGAGGAAACATTTTGTAAAGATTTAGTGTTCTTAAAACACATTTTTTTACTACCTGATAAACTTTTGAAACTCGCAGACCACTCTCTTGGCCTCGGCAGAGACATGACACGTCTCTGCCGGCCCCACCACAGCACACGAGCCTCCTTTGTATTTCCCCAACCGGAAACCGATGGTCTTGTCTTCACCGTCTGCCCCGACTGAGATGAGGAACTCACACTTGTTTCTGTAGTCGGTCTGCCACGACATGTCAGGGAAATGTGGACGGGATTACAAGTGTTAGACTACTAAAATGTAATAATACTGAAATATAATGAAACGGTAAAAGTGAACAAAGCCACTGACAGCACTTTGACTTTGGGAAACTTTTGAATACTTTAAGTGTTCCAAAAGTTTGAAATCTCCTCCAATACTTTGAAAACATTTGTATACGCTTCATTGCAACAACATGAGAAGTAAGAATGAGCATTTTAAATGTTGAAGTTGTGTTGAAAAGACACAAAGGTATATGGACTGCTGCTGCTGCGGCTCAGAAGGTGCAAACAGTGTGAGAGTGTGTGTGACGTCAGACTCCCAGCAGCTGGGATAATGTGCTGCTTTTTAAGTGTTATGTCATTAGAAATGAACAATATTTGGGTTTTGTACTGTTTGGGCTGTCGACATTTGGAGACGTCACCTTGGGAACATTTTCTTATATTTTGTTGATTATATGATTCAGTGAGATCGTGAAAGTAGTTGTACATATAGCTGTGCAGTGGCTGATGTTCAGTAAGACCCAAGTTAGACCCAGTGTGTGAGTGCACCTGTGTAGGAGATGGTTGAATAGCTTCCAGGGGACAACACATTTTGTTGTATTTCCCTTTCTGTGCAAACAGCCACGGCAGCATGGCTTTGTTGGTGCTTCCAATCTCTCTGAAAAAGAGACAGTGGGACATCTTGAAGTTATTAACTGTATGATGCAGAAACACAGAGCTTTTTCACCTCCATCACGCTTTTGCAGAATTGACTTGAGCAATTGATTAATCCATCAATACAACTGTGAGAACAACCACTTGTATGGGCAGTTTTTTTTACATATCATTATAAACATGGTTAACTTTGAAGCTATTAAATGTTGATAAAGCTTCCATGAACTACCATGGTGCTGACCTTCAATAATCCTCACTGGTACAGATCTAGTGTTGCTGCTGAACAGACCAGACCCTAGTGGTCAGCACTAAGTTCAGGTGTGAACACTTGCAAAGGCTTCCTGAGATCTGATCACTCAGATCTTCACCAACACAAACGACACACATGATTATTTGCATATAGAGAAGGAAGTGAGATCACAACTGGTCACAGGAGACACTTATGATCAGATCTCTCAGGACAGATGATATCACCAGATAATATCAGGTCTGAACAGGGCCAGTGACACCACCTACTTTGCCAGCCTCTGCAGAACCCCCACCACCTCCTGCTCCTTCCTCTTCAGCTGCTCCTCATATGGCACATTCCACAGAGGAGTCACCACGTTGGCGATCTGGACGCTGAGCGGCTCCTCTTCCTGGTCGCCCTCTGCCCGCTTGGACGGGGGCTGCCCTCCCGCGCCCTCTCCCTCCTCCTCCTGCCTCCTCTTCCTCTGGATGGGGTCAGCTTTGGGTTTGGCCAGCCTGACGCTCAGGACCTGGCCCTTCCACTGCATGCCGTGCACCATCTTCATGGCCTTGTCGCGCTCCTCCTCGTTCTTAAAGGTGACGAAGGCAAACAGGTGCTTGCCAAACAGCTTGATCTTGTGCGGGTTGAGGCCGTGCTTGGCCAGGAACTTCTTCAGGTCGTTGAAGCCGATGAACTTGGGCAGATTCCTGATCTCCACTTTGTAGATCTCGGATGTGAAGAGGTCCTCTTTGATGTAGCGGTACACATTCTGGTCAGAAGCCGCCTCGCTCTCATCTTCTCCAGCTTTGACGTCAGACTTTACACCATCGGTGCTGGAGTCCTGGGGGAGGGCGTCAGGTGTCTCCTCCTTTGAGGGGGCCGTATCAGCCGGTGGGCTGTCACTAACATCAGCCATCACTCTGCTTGGTGGACACATAAAAAACACCATAAGCAGGCAGAATGTCACATATGCTCAAGAGTATGTGTGAGAAGAAAAAAAAGTTAAGCCAACGTGACCAGACATTTGTGTGCTTTTGTGTTTTTTTGTCTCTGTGTTGTATTTAAGTCCCTGTACAGAATGTTTAATCTACCTCTGTGTATGAAATGTGCGTTAGAAATAAAAAACTGCCTGGCAAATTAATAATAGAAAGATACATTTTACGATAATCTTTTATGCATGAGCAGAAATAGGATAAGCGGTGTAGATGGATGGATGCACACACTGCCTCCAGTCAACTACTGTGAACCTATTTTGTTAGTTTTTACAAGAGGTGTAATAAAAATCTAATTACACTCCTTCATCTCTCCATCTTGGTATTTGTCTGTGGTTTGAACAAGGACTACACACATCTTTAATATTGAACTACTTCTCCCACTTCAATGTAAGTTTATAACATGTCGTTTTTGTAAACTACTGTACAGTTTAGAGGAGGTTTGTTTGTTTATAACAGCTTTTCACAATAAAACAGCTTGATACCTGCTCAGAGTTTGCTCAAACGTCATGGTTTACGTGACGTCACGTCTGTAAAACCCTAATGCGTTTAGATGTGACGTTGAAAAAAAAACAAAACAGCCGCACTTTAAAACAGGGACATGCACATGCACTGGTTGCCTTTAACGACGTGAGTTGTGTGTGCATGTCACAATAAAAGCCTGCACACAGTAATACATCGTTAGCTGCAGGCTAAAGTGAAGATTTACTGAAGTCACTCTTTCTTATTTAAACCAACAGCTCTCCAGGATCTAAGGTTAATATGTGACACATGACAGTTTCCTCTGCTGTTTCACATCAGCCACAGTCAACATGTGTCTTACCTCCTCTCAGTTACATGCAGCTGCAGCTCTCAGTGAAACAAACAGGGCGCCGCCATGTTGTTCACCACGTGCTGCGTGACCTTTCAACTTTCTTAAAGTGGTAGTGGTCACTTTCTGGGACTACGTATTCAAGCGTGTAATTACAGATGCATATGCAATTGCCTCATTGTAAAGTCCACAAATAAAAAGTTCAATTGATTTCATACAAACATAAAATATGAATTATATTATTATATATATGTATTATATTATTGACCCAACTTTCTCTCTGTTTTTATCAAATAAAGTCATTAAACTAAACTAAATGAAGTGGAATCAGGTTCAGTGTGGTTGAAACATGACCAATATTGTATAATTATGTATTCATTGGAATAAAAGTCAACATCATTAACTAATTACAAACTAATATCTACAGTGCATGTTGAGAAGAAGGTGGTATACAAGATCCATAGAGGCCCACAGTTCATTTTAATATTGAAACTCATATTTTTATTGTATGACAGTGTTTCTTCACTTTTCCTCATTATCCTGATCGAGTTATTGATAAAGCTGTATTTAAAGCGTATATTTCAGTAACATTGAGTCGTTGCAGTAACTGAAGTTGTGACATTTTTCTAAAATAAAAATAAAGCAAGAAAACAAGTAATTTAAAAAACAAAAATAATAAATGGATAACAAAATAAAAAAGGAAAGAAAACAGTAAAAATTCAGACTTTGTCAAACACAAAGTTATTTTTAATTACCTTCTTCATGTGGTGCCACATCGATGCAGCTCTTGATAGAGAAGTTAAAATGTTGGTTTGGAGTCAGACCACTTTCTTTTGTGAATGTGGAATTTGTCAGTAATGTCAAATCAATTGCACAAATAATATAATGATATTGATCAACCTTACATAAATAAATTATCTTTCATCCTGGAACTGAATATTTTGTCCAGTATTATTTAACAACCTTATTTACGAACTTGAATGCATAGCAACATTGCAGATTAGTTAGAAAAACAGTACGCAAATAATAAAAAATAGTTTTCCCCACAATAGTTTTTTATTGTTCACTGACATTGTCATTGGTTGCTTTTTCACTGTCTATATTTATATCCACATATAAATCCTGTGAAATTAGAGCTACTGTTGTTAATAAATACCATTCTAGATAGATAGATAGATAGATAGATAGATAGATAGATTACTTTATTCATCCCCAAAGGGAAATGAGTTTGTCATAGCAGTCCGGTATTTGGATACAACAAAAATACAATAGATTCTACATTGACGGATGTGAAATGTCCCATAGAATCAATAGGTTTATAATGAAATCAGTTTGAATCATCCTCTGTAGAGTTAAATGTAACGCTAGCATTGACATTTGCTCTCATCTGAAGTCTTCTTAAGTATAAATTGTTTTGTCTGTGACGCAGTCCCAGTCTGGAGAGAGAGGCGGCGCGCGCTCCGACCGTCCGCATACGTAGGAAAATCGGCGCGCGAAAGCTGCAGCAGGAAGTGAGAGTATCTGAGGGGAAGCGGCGGACAGTTTAGGATTTGAATCAACCTAAACTTCTTCCACAATCTACAAACATCTACATTAATATGGCGGACCCGAAGGTGAGCGCTCACATGTCGGGTCATCTGATGCGCTGTGTTCGCTGTAAACTCTGAATTTTGTGGCAAACGTCGTATTTTACGCGTCATAATGGGTCTAAGTTTGCTGTGGACAGAACTGCCCGACAATGCTGCGGTGTGTCGTGATGCTAGAGAAGCTAATGTGCGTGTCTCCGGCTCTGCGAGGTGTAAAGTGTCCCGACCCTGGGACCGGCAGCTGGGGAGGGGGTTTATACTTTATAGATCATTCGGTTCAAGAGTTTAACGGGAACCAGCTCAGACGTGGTGCAGCCAGTCAGCATGTTAGCATTAGCCCCCTGGTCGTTAACCGGAGAAGGTAACTGACACAGCACAAAGATGATGAGTCTGAACTCTCGTGGTGTTTTAAACCCAGCAGGTCACAGTGTTCGTGTTACCGACAGGCCGAACACAACGAGGTTAGCTAGCTCCTCTGCCTTTGTCTGCCAAGCACAACAGTTGCTAAAAGGAGTTGGCTAAAGCTAGCTGTGTTAGCAGGGCGCCAGAGACAGTGACTCTGTATTCTGCCAGTGAACAGCCACAATGCTAACACCGAACGAAGTGCCGCACATTCCGAATACCATGTCACAGAATGTCACGGAGAAATAATGTGGTCTCATTCAGCGACACGCACCGTGGAGCGAAGCGCCTCATCATTAGCTCTGTGTTAGCCCGCTAACGAGAGGCCTCGCTCACGAGCTATGGAACTTCACAATGAGTTTTCTCAGGAGACACAAAGTTGAATAACTATTTGTTAACATCACTGAAGTAAAATGTGACAGAGCCGAGACTTAACTTTTCGTTTATTTCTTAACTCTTTCAAGTCAGATCTCTAGAAATCAACCACACAGCGAGAGCGTTGTCCTAAACGCTGCTAACATCAGATGGCTGAGCTGCAGAAACGTTAGCTGGGAAACCGCTTATTCGCTGTAAGCTAGTAGCTGTTAACGTGCTAGAAGTAGGTTTGCAGAAAATGAAAATCTCCAGCAATTTTATGTTGATGAGCGTTTGTCCATTCACACACATTTCTTTATGCTTTGTCACAAGTCCTGAAGCTGCTCTCTCCTCTAACGATAGCTGCCTGTGTCAGTCACCATTGTTTGAAGAATAAATGTTCTATAGATGTTCTTGCCATGTTGGTAATGTGCATGAAGTGTTACAGATACACATCAGAACACTAAACAGCATTAAAGATGCTTGGCTCAGCAACTGTGATCAAACAAAGGGTTTGTCCAGTTCCCCCTTTACAAAAGCTATACTTCACCAATGAGCTCTTAAATCCCTCTATTGAAGCATGGGTGCTCAGTCACTTTGTTCCAGAGCTTTTAAAGAATCACTCTGACCTCGTGCCATGCAACACGTCTAATCATTTCAACCACAGATCCATGGATTAAATTTTTCTTGAGTTGACTCATTCCCTGCTTTTCCTTTCAGGACCAGGAGGAGCATGACACCACTGCAGAAAGTGCAGAGGACACTAACCATGACCCCCACTTTGAGCCCATCGTTTCCCTTCCCGAGCAGGATGTGAAAACATTAGAAGAGGATGAGGAGGAGCTCTTCAAAATGTATGCTGCTTCAATAGTCTCCCTATATTCCTTTGCATGTAATTTGTCACATTTTGATTCCCAGCATGTGGATGGTATTCTGGTGTCTTTCCTTAAAGTACCACACTGATAGGTATGCTTTTTTCATTTTTACTCAGGCGGGCCAAACTATATCGTTTTGCCTCAGAGAACGACCCTCCGGAGTGGAAGGAGAGAGGAACTGGTGACGTCAAGCTGCTGAAACACAAAGAGAAGGGCACAATCCGCCTCCTGATGAGGAGAGACCGGACCTTAAAGATTTGTGCCAATCATCAGAGTGAGTCCAGTCTCCAAATATAATACTGTTGTTCTTTAATTCCATCATACAGCATGGTATTTAAAGGAAGAAAACAAATAACAGCTTTAATAACATGAATTTATAAAAAAAAACTGCACAAAAGTGTGGTGTACATAGAAGGGCATTTAAATCATATGTTTGTGTTTACTAGCAGGCTTCCTTCAATAGCAAAGCACGTGTTTATATTTGTACTTTAAACAAAGTATTTAGGTTATGCTAATGCCTTTGGACTGTTCACCGATTCACCAATGTTTTTATATTTTTGACATGAGTTGTATTAAAAATGTATTACTTTATCTAGTAAGTAAGGAAATCATTCAACACAAAATGTGTAGATTATGCAAATAACAATTTTCAGATACTGAAATGGCTATGTAAAACTATAGCATATAACCATATATATTAACAATGTTCTCCCTGTGAACGGCAGTTATACCTGTGATGGATCTGAAGCCCAATGCTGGCAGTGACAGGGCATGGGTGTGGAACACACCAGCAGATTATGCTGACGAATGCCCCAAACCTGAACTCCTGGCAATACGCTTTTTAAATGCAGAAAGTAAGTACTATACATGTAATCCAATATTACAGTCAGGAGGTTTCCCAACTTGTGTATAATTTAGATTCTTTCTTGATCACACTACAGAGACAGACATGTAAACAGTATGGCTGCTTTTAATACCATAAATTAACTCTGATCTTTTTATAGATGCTCAGAAGTTCAAGGTGAAGTTCGATGAGTGCAAGGAGGAGGTCAGAAAAAATATAGAGGGATCAGGTAAGTCAAACTCAAATGTTAGTGTTTTTCAATGTACAGACTGAAAATTTTAAATAAATGTAATGAACAATTAATGCAGATGCTTCTACGCAAGCAATGTACAGATCAAAAGTAATTAACATTCAGTCATATAAAGCAGGTTTGGTTAATTCTGATTTGGCAAGAGAAGATGCAAGTGACTTTGAAAGAGGATTGTGACCCAGATGACAGGAGCTTAACTGGCTTCTGTTTCCATAGAAACAGATCTAAGTGACATCTCCATTTAACCGGAGTAAATACGTTAACAAATTTTGGTTGATAGTGTACTTTTGATGACCATGGTCATCATTGGTGCAGCTCAGAGAGTGAGAACGTCATAACCCGTTAATAAATAAAAAATATCCTGATGGGAGTGGTCTCTTCCAGTGGTCTCTTTTCAGAGCCTGCAGTTCACAGCTGTGCTCATGATTGATTAATGTCTATAGTGGCCTGTTTTAAATTGAATTTAAACATTTCATCTCTCATGACACTTTCATCAGTAGCCTGTGCAGACTCACTCTGTTCTTCGCTGCCCCCTCCAGCCTGGGACTTTTTCTGTCTGCTACATGAACATGCAGAATGTAACACTTCACTGGTTTTCTAAAAGGCTGGTGTCAGTTTGTTCTGCTACATTACAATTCAGATTTTCACAGTTTAATAATCTCAAATTTTTAAAAAAGGAAATTAGTTGAAATGCTAAGTGTCAGGCAGGCTGAAGAGTCAAACCTTATAGCTCTTCACTCATTTCACTGTTTTACCACAGGCAACTCCGATAGCACAAATAAGGTGGCAGAGAAGCTGGAGGAGCTCTCAGTAAAGGACAAGGCATCAGAAGACAAGAAAGAAGACAAAAAGGAGACTGAGAAGAAAGAAGATGAGAAAAAGGAGGTGAAGGCTGAGGAGAAGAATTGAGAACCAAGAACTTGCTTTGCTGATCTTCAACTTATCAGTTTTTCCTCTTTTTCTACAATAGACTCCAAATGAACTGAATTTGGACACTTGCATATTATTAGTTTTTTTTTTTTATTCTGTTTTGCCTCAAGATCACAAGTCCTTGATGCCGCTGAGGAGAAAAAAAATACAAGATAGAGAATTTATGAAAAAAAGACCCCCTTTCCCTCCCACCTCTTCCCCTCTTTGCAATGGGAATGCCACACTTTCCATTCTTGTCATCTACAGTTCAATGTTACGATTGACAAACTGTGAAAAGAGGCTTGTGATAGTGATAATTCCCACATTGGGGTATTTTTTGTTTTGTTATTCTGAAGCGGTTTGTTTTAAGGAGGGAGGCGATAATGTAGCCTGCTTGTAAGCAGCACAGGGTCAGGGACCAGGCATTATGGAGGTGCGTTATAAATCTAAAAAAACCATGATTCATCTCAGTGGGTCCTTTTTACCCACTGTCCATGCTTCCACTGTTAGCAACAGCAAGTAAGATGAAGACTTCTCAGCGAATGTCTTGTAGAAAATAGCTCTCTCAGTTCCTCCCTGCATCACTCCTGTTGGGAACTGACTAGAGGAGGAATCCCCTCCACACAGTTGAAGGGCATCAGATGCGTGCTGCACATCAGTGTCCACTGATAGCTGACCTACTGATAGATCAGATGCACTTAGCTAAGCTTTTTATTTCATTCCCTTTTTGTTTTAAACCATTAAGTCTAAAGTGAACGGTTCACCAGAGTTTGGCGCAGCTATGCTCCGACTTAAGTTCCACACCAGGTAATGGTGTGTATCATTTAGATCATAACATTCCCAAAGTTTAAAGCATGTAGAGTATATGTAACAGAGTGTGCCCTCTCAGATCTGTGTGCTCACCCCCTCTCCTTTCTTTCCACTAATTAAGTTCTTAACCTTGCCTCTTAAAGTGCATCCAAGTGCCAGTGCATCTGTAAATACATGTATATGGATGAAATGTTGCTTTTCATTTGCACTCAAATGATTTGAAATGTTTCCGCCACCTTCGAATAAAAGCTGTCAAACACCACGTTCACATGCATTCAGAAAAAAACATTACTTGTTTCCTGGGCTAGCTAAAGATCAGATCAAAAAATTTTAATTCACAAGGATCTTATTCACTCAGCGATGAAAACTTTATTTACTTTGCTCAGGTCATTGGGAAATATTTCCTCTTCACAAAAATAGGAACGCATGTACATTTATAGTATATTCTATATTTTTTTATACAACTTTAACTTTCTATTTGAGTTTCAGAAAACATCAGCTCGTGGCTGATAGAACAGATTCATTATGGACTGTCAGGAATGGTCCCTGACCTGCAGTGATGTCCATCCCTAAAACAAGAACATTGGACTAATGGCAGTCATCTTAAATAGGAATGACATCGACAGTGTTTTGATATGTGGTCAAACTGGAGGGGATCAGGGAGGGAGGGGTCTGTTCAGGCAGCACAGCAGCTAACGGTCCACTCAGGTATTTCAAGATGTGGCTGTTAGCTGTTCTGTTGACGGTCATCAGATTTGTTACATGTATAGCCCTGTGTACCACAGACTTGGAACAGAAACCACTTTCTAACACTTGAATGGTGTCGTGTTTCACCTCACATTACTGTATTTGTGGTAAGGCAGCTGGGTGAGACCGCACAGGTCAGATTGTTGTAACTAGCAAGTTTCCAGTAACATTCAACCAGAAACCAAGACTACCACATCACTGTTCTTTATGCTGATCTCTGCAGAAACTAAACCTAACAAGAAATGGGAAGAATCATTTTATATCTTGTGGGGTTTTTTTCCTCAATCTTGGCCCTGTTTATAAATGTGGGTGTGTAAATGAATGGTAAAAAACGTTTGGAATCGGTCCAGTAGATCATCTCCCTGCTGGCAGTCATGATTTGGCAGCAGTGACTACAATGTAATGTATTTTAATGGGGCAACTGTCCAGGAACTCCACTTTTTCCCCACATTTACAAAGAGCCCAAGTTGGAAAATACTTGAATTCTCCTCTAAACTAGATCACGAATCCCTTTGTACATTAGCTGTTCTCCCAGAACTTTCTAACATCAAATTTACTCACTTTGAGCTGTGTCACTTCTGTCTTTTGTTGTTTTGTATACAAAAGGAGTAATAAGTAATAATTCATTGTCCTTTCATGTATAATAGTGTGTCAACCACTTACATTTCATTATGGATGAAACAGCTTTTCCTCTCAAAAGGCAACAATGGTTTATTCTTTATGCAAACATAGTTGGACTAAATCTACCGCTCTACAACGTGTTGATTTATTCTGTTGATGCAAAATATAAATAAAAACCTGACCCTTATCAGTTCATTTGTATGGTCAAAAGTAAATCATGTTATGAGACTGAATACCAGCAAAAATTCCAAAAAAAAGAAAGCAAGTTCCATTTAACTCTGAGTGGTGTGAAGCTGTACCAGACAGCTGCTGCACAAAGTTATGATGTCACCTGTTTGCCGTCTTTGAGAAGTTGAGATGGTTTGTCGCCGCTTTTGTCACCGAAATCTCATCTGCCTCTGCTGAGAGCCCAATCCTCGACTTGTCCACAACACATACGAGTCACAGATTGTGTACACTTCTTCAACATCACATAGCTTATTACATTTCATCATATATATTTTTTACACTGCAAGTTATAACAAGCTATATTATTTTACTTGATGGATTTTTACCCATTATCCATGATCTCATTCATTTACTGTATATATATAATTTATCAACAAGAAACTCCACTCAAAATAAAACATCCATTCCAGGCTTAAGTATCTGTATAAAAAGATGTATCAAACAGTTTTTTTTCAAGGTTGGGTATATAAAAAGGAAACAAACCAATTAAAAAAAATTACAAAATAATGAATGGGTGACCAGTTATCTTTAGTTTACCACACGGGACAATGGCTTTTTTTTCTTCACCCTTCCAAATCCTATTGTTATAATAACACAAACATTTTTACGAAACTTTTTACTCTTTTTCTTTTTACACAAAACATTAGCAGAGATGTGGTTTGGATGGTGCAAGGCTGGACTCACTCTGGACTGGATAAAGAAAACTTGCACCTACAGTTACGTCCAAATGTCAGAGACAGCTTTTGGGAAGTGGTCTCAGACTTTTGGACATCACTGACCATCTTCCTGGCTCTTGTGTCATGTCGGAACTCAGCTGACTGAACCTCACTAAAACTAATAGAAGCCCACCGTGACTTACTGCACCTCAAGGGGGATCATTATCTGCACTCGACTTGAGACGAAGAAATAGACATTCATGATTCATGAACGTAACATCATATCCCACCCTCTCTGCTGCCTGCATTCATTCCTGAGAGAATTATGTTGCACAAAGGTGGGAGTTGCAGTTAAAGGAAACCTTTCTCAGTGAATCTGCAACACAGCCACCAGACATGATCTAAAAAACGTTCTCACCATCTCTCGTTAATCTAACTCATCCGTCCTCAAAGCTGCATAACCCCACCACTTGAGCTGAAGATGACTTGAACAGTACAGGTTAACGTGAAGCACTTTGGCTCCTTGAGGTGAGTTGACATCAAGTCTCCTCTCACAGCGGGCCGTGGTGAGGTTGTGTGTTTTATTGATTTGTTTGTTGCACGTACGCTTCATGAGCACATCTGAGAGACAACAGTTATAACATTGACAATCTCATTGGACGGTCCACTCTTACAACAAAGGTGACAAGCCACAAAATGTAATGACGACACTCCTCGCACATACAGCACAGACTGCAGCAGTATCAACAAATGACCCATACGCAGGCATTTGGCCGGACAGACCTACACAAGAGCAGACAGGTCCTCTGATTGGACAATATCTCCAAAAACACAGAGCGCTGTGTGCCCCTGACTGGATGTTATCAAGACACAAAAAGTAACAGAGATGAAGAATCTCTTTGTCACAGGGTGGCTGCTGTTGTCGTCAGAGGTGGATGTGGCGTCCAAGCTCACACTGATATCTCATATGTGGTGCCCCCTACGCCTGTCACCTTTTTGACGTTACTGTGGCGACTGGGGCTGAGGTTGGCACCCTGGGTACCGGGGTGGCAGTCCATCTGCCCGTTAACTTTCATGGCCTCTCTGAGTGGAAATAGGAGAAGAGAGAAAATTACTAATGGCACAAAAAGCCAAAGACATTTATCACAAACCAAAGAATGAGGCGACAACATGCAGGTTAAATGTCAGGAGCTATAAACAACAGAACGGCAGTATGAAGGATTACTTGAGATTTTACTTGATAGTGAAGCAAGTCGTGCAAATGTTAGACCAGAGGGTGAAAGCATGCAAAAGAAAAAGAAGTGAGAGGAGTCACACAACTTTATTCATCTGACATTTGTGAAATAATACAAAAATTATACTTATATAAGACTGAACTCATGAATAAATAAAATCTTGTACATACACCATAACAAATGCTACACATTGCCTCAGTTAGGATTAGTTCACTAGTGCCCATGAGTAGCTGGCTGTATCCAGCAGGGGGAGCTGGTTTGCCAGTGGGAATACATTTAATACCAGTCACCATTGGCTCAGTACACTGCATGCAGTCGTTAGGATTCATACCTCGGGCCCCCGAGACGAGGCGAGTCCATCCTCTCATGAGCACTGATGAAGGAGTATTTCTGATGAGTGTAGGAGGGAGATCGGGGCATAGCAGGGGAGTGGGGCTGGTGAGTGGGGGAGCGATAGAGGCCCTCAGAGCCAGTGGCCCTGCTCTGGCTGCTGTTGGTGCTACTGTGATCATTGTGCAGGGAGGTGGAGGAAGTCCTAGGCGCACGGCCCAGCGTGGAGCCAGCATGGCGCAGCACAGGGGTTCGCTGGCCATAGCTCAACAGCCCGACCCCCATCAGGTTGTCCCTGGAGCCTCCATAGGCTGGGGGTGTTGGGCCCCTGGAACTGGGGCCATGAGGACCATCTGGATAGCATGCGTTGTGGGATAGACCATAGCCCCCATCAAACACACCAGAATCCTGCACATAGATGTGAGTCTGGGAGCGCCCATGCAGCATCTGCCGCTTCTCCCTCTCCTCCGTCTCCTTTCGCTCCTGAATGGAGGCCATGATGGTCTGGGAGAGGTTATCATAGCGCACAGGGGATGGGTCCCTGTCCCTTGGGTGAGGGGATTGCCTGCCCACCCTTCTGGGTGGCATTACTGGACTGTAGGCAGGGGCAACCTGCTGCCTCTGCATTTCAGGTTCCCGGATGTGGCACATTTTAGTGGGCAGGTAGGGCGAGTGGAACCCAATGGAGGGCATACCACGATGGGCCATGCATTCACTGGCAGCGGCTGGGGAGATGCTGGGGTTGAGCAGGCTGTCGTAGGACAGACTGCCATTACGGTTGGAGAGTGTGTTGGGTGAGAAGACACTCTTGTAGGGGGTGGATGTGACTGTATGCGGCTGCAGGGCCGGGAGCTGGCCCTTCTCCGGCCGGCGGTGACCTTGCTTCAGGCTGAGAGAGCGGGAGTTGATGGGGTCAGAGTCCAGCTGGAGGGGAGAGGATTGAAAGGTGCGGTGGAGGGGAGTGTTGGTGTACTCAGGCAGGTCGAGGTTTGGCTCGGATCGGTAGTCGTGACCACGGACACCCTCTTCCAAGATGGCTGAGGTCTTCCGATCATCTGGCATGACAATCTGAGGAGCAAACAGCAGAACAACCATAAAAATTTGAATTAAGTCAGTGTCTTTAACAGCTCCCATTAAACCTTTTACACCACAACCTCTGAAGCTGAATCTACTAATCACAGTATCATGTCTTACCTTCTCTCCAGCAGCGTGGTAGTGGACCTTCGGCATGGTGCCGAAGGACGGCCTGAATCTGTACATGGCTGGAGTGGAGGGGTGGGTTTTACCAGAAAGAGAACTCTCTAAAAAAAACACACAAAGAAGGAAAACCAGAGTTAATCTGTAACAAAGATATCAGAAATGGCACTATAGAGGTTTAGAGCTAAATTCCATTATAAGAGTAAAGAGGCTGGAGGGACAGATCTTAAAACCACTTCCTGCAGAATGGAAATAAATTGGAGTTGCTGGGCAGCCAGACAGTAAGAGTCCATTCTGTGATTGATCTATAACGCATTCAAACCCCGAAACTGCCAACTGTCCATCCCTGAACCTTCTGAGCAAAGCACAAAAGCCCAAAGGCACTTCTGAGCTTCTAGTTTCTAAAGTGTCTCTCAGGGAGACGCAACAGCTCTTACATCCACAAGCAGTGAGTCATCTAAACCACTTTTATAGACAGCCAATCCATTTAGACCAACTGCAGTACTCAAACATTCCACCAGGCTGCACTACCGCTCTATGAACGAGCAGGGAGTGTTCACTCCCTGACATAATGCACCATGACACAGGAGGTCCTCTGGAGGAAACCTTGCACTGTATATTACTGACACTTACTGTTGAATGCTACAACATAAAGACAATATTACGACTGTAAAACTACCCCCATCTGTAAAACTACCCCCATAAGCAGGCCCATCACTGTTTCTGTTTTACACAGATTCCCTCCCACTGGTTCTAGACCATCTTCCTCTCCTGCTCCTCCGTTTGGCAGAGCTCCACTGCTGCACACCACCACAGGAAAAAAAGAGGCGGTGATTCATGTTGCAATGATTCATTCTGAAATGTCTCCATCATAACACAAATCTGATGCTGATTCAGTAAACGGGGTTTTCCTGCTCGCTGCAAATCACGCCTGCTCTGAGGCCTGGCATAAAAAAAGACCATCGACCTGCCACTGGGACGAACATTAATCAGGCTAAACTAGCTCCAAGTGGCACCATGAGGAGGGGGAGTTGGGAAAGATTTGTCATGTGCTGCAGGAAAGACAAAAGAGATTGATTGTGACTGGCAGATTGACTGATGTACGCAGAAAGGCAGTTTTTCTTTAATTTCGTACCTTCACCGGAGGTCATCTGGCCTTTCAGCTGGTTGTACCTGTCAGCTTTGGGCGGCAGCGGTGGCTGGGTTTCTCTTTCATCCAGGCCGTCCAGGCTGCTTTTGGACTACAGGGAGGAGGAGCAGGGTGTTAAAAGCATCCAGAACAGCAGCAGATGAAATGGAGAAGAGAATGTGTTGGTTAGCGATGCACCACCACAACTCTCACAGGAGGTTGTATGGTAGCAAAGATTCATTAGGCAGCTGCTTGAGCTTAAATTGATTATTTTTAGTGGTTAATAGAGTGAGAATGGTGACAGAATAGGGATAACAAATTATTTTTATATTTTTCTATCTTAAAGGAGCATCCATAATGACGTCGTATAGCAAGTACACTTTGAGTATATTTAAAGGTAAGAACTCGACTAGAAAAGTTAAGGTAGTACTTTTACTTGAGTTTAGTTATTTATAAGGGCCATCGGTTGTACACTACTTTTCACAATACACTGTGGGATACACTGTATAGGATATAAAAACACACTATAAACCACACTACATCATTGCAAACTCACTATATAGTGGACTATTTAGTGAATGGTGAGTGATTTCAGACAAAACCATTGTCTTTTTTATTTCAGCTATTTTTCTTCCTTCTGAAAACCAAGTGTCTACATTACCCACAATGCAACCAGACCTCTGCCAGAGAGATTTGTGTGTGTGTAGTTATGCTGACTGTTGTAGAGACAGTAAGCAGACGACAGAGGTCTCACTCTATCTCCATTGTCAAACTTGCAGGAGCAGTTTATCAGAGTTCTCACACACATCCCCTTCTGGAGGGTTTTATACATCTTTTTATTTTTTCTCCCCAAGACCTGTAAACAGACTTTGATGTGTGAAGTCAATGGAGTTTCCCCTTTAGGTCACAGGGAATTTGAATTTGAGTTTTGCAAAGTTTTCACCTAATCTCTCTTGCACTTTACAGAAAAGTTTTCCCTGAACAAACTTACAAACCAGAAAATAATTTGACCTTTAGGGTTATGCTCTTAAAAGGGAACAGGATGCTTTTCTTAACTGCAGCCCCACTCTGTGCTTCAGGCTGATAAGTTGAGTGTATTTTTACGAGCAGGGACAGAAATGCTGGTATGCGTTTAAAGGTGGTGGATTATTAACTCCCTACATCATAAATTGTTTTTTTTTAAACTAAATGGCACAAATTGAAACCATACATTGAAAAGTAAGAAAATCATTCTAAAACATAAGGCATACTAGAAAATGGCTATTAATGTACATTTGCCATTAAAAAAAAAAACTCCCAAATCTTTTTCCATTTTAACAC